ATATTTGTCTCGTGAGTCTGGTGACTTCAGGTTACCATGGTAATCCATCGATGATATTGCGATCAGATGAAATGGCGACCTGTAGTTAGTCAGCTCACGTCGGCAGATGAAATGGCATAGTACGAGGCGAGTCGAAAACAAACGTAAAATGATGGCCATCATGGTGAACTGAGGTCCCGTTGTTTTCAATGGACAGTGAAATCGCCTAGGGCCAGAAATTGATAAAAGTTCAGTCAATTAGACTAGCATTTTCCCAGGCTGGCGACGATGTACAGAAGCGATGGCAAAGCAGCGTTATCACCAGGATTGTATGCTGAAGGCGTCGACTATCACGAGTGCACATGCTGAAATAAATGACGTTAGATTTACTAGAAGACACTGGTTAAGCAACCACATCAAGCAATCATTGGAATATTATGACAGCATTCGACATGTTAAAGGACTTTCTTCAACTGTGGAATGTTCTCAGTGTATCTATTGATTGCTTCCCACCGTCACGTATTGATTGCTTCACGTGCTACTACTTGCTTCACGTGCTGCACGTTGAAGGTGGCTTCATGTAAGCATGAGAACTCATAATACTGAAAAACCAGGCCCTCAAAACCTGTCTTGCTTGTCTCAACTTTACTTTACTGTCAGACGCCCCCCGCATCAGGGTTGTCGTTTTGTATAATATCGCGGGGGCCTAAGACCCCCCCCCCACAATTCTGGATTGAGGCCCTTCAATGCTCTCCTGGCCCCCTCCCAATCCCAATGCTTATGAGCAAAAAGAGAATACTGGGCCAATGGAATGCGGCAAATGTCTGAACTGCTGTCACATTAGGTACTAAGCGCATCACTATATTTATCATCTTTATATCCCATTATTGTCACTGTCACATGGGCTGCAAATAAGGCATCATTCCTCAACATAAAAGCTATTTTAATAAAAGTACGGTTGTAATATAAACAATGACAGCAACGTGATCACCTTCGCACGTTACCAACTACTGCCGTCTTTCACACAACTTGGTAAAAAGCAGAATCATCAGTCGTCAAAACGTATTACACATGGGCAAGCAAGTAATGCTGCACAACGGGAGCCTCTATATCGTCCAGTCTGGTACGAACCTCCTTGTCGGCGGCAGGCTGCTCCAGGATGAGGCTGCGCGATACAAAAAGGTTCTGAGAGCCAGCGACTGGCGAAGAGCTGGCAGATTTGACATCTGCCGGTTCTCCAAGGACAATTTTGTCTACGTGTCTATCACCATCAATCCCAGAATGAAGGTAGCGCGGTTCTTATCTCCCTCCCGCTACGGTGTGTCCCCAGTGTCCGTCAATGTACAAAACAGTTATGGATACTGCCTCCAGAGTTTGCAACCTGTATATTTACCTCATAACGCCTGTATAAACGAACAAGGAACACGGTGCATGCGCAGAACTTTATCGGGTTTGATTCACGCGCATTCACATGGCGTTATGAGAGGCGCTTTCTTTCTACTAGGAAGGAATTTTTCGGCCTCCACCGACCCTCGAAGCACCTGCTTTCTGAACTTGAGCATAGGATCTGAGGGCACTCCCCGTAAATATGAGACCCAGAAATAGTTAAACGTTATTTAGCTCAAAACGGTTTTTAAAAACCCGTTCCACTTATACGCATGGTGACAATGCGTTGTTTCATGAACGGGAGGACCAGAACTAAAGAGAACTAGGGACAGAATAGAGGGTTTTGTCCGCCATAAGAGTGCTGAGAATAGTTTTGAATGACTTTTTCCGAAAGAATGTACAAAGCCTGGTGCTGAGCTTCCTCAATACGAACAGCCATATACACACAAAGCATAAAACAGTCCGGATGCCAGGACCGCTTCGTTTCTCCTTTGACTTGGCCAGCGGATGTGTGACATCATGGCGGCAGCGGGAGATCCCCTCGCTCTGCGGTCCTGGCTGCACCTAAGGATCATGGCGGCAGCGGGAGATCCCCTCGCTCTGCGGTCCTGGCTTCATGTCAGGATCATGGCGGCAGCGGGATACCCTCGCTCTGCGGTCCTGGCTGCATCCAAGGATCCGGCTCTGCGGCCGGATGCGACCTTGTCGTGTAGTGTGTTGTGCTAATCTGGGAAAGACTTAAATAGAAATCGGGATTCTAAGCAAAGGGGAAAAACCAGCCTACTTTTTCAATTGTGTTTGGGAAGCCCTCGGCAGGGAGGGGCGCTTGCACTTTTTCAATGGTGCAAGGGAACCTTGCAATGTTTGTACAGGACTTTTTAAGTTTGTGTCGCATAAGAATTCGAAGAGGAGATCCGAAATGTCCGGATAGCAGTCACCTAGAAATAAGAGTAAATGTGAGCGTTAGTGGGAGTCTATGCGTGGTTGTGTCGCGTAAAAGTGGTTGTGTGTGGGACGTTGCGCGTTTGTGTGTGGGCCAAGTGAGCAAAAACCGTTCGACCGTGCATGAAGTGTGGCAGAAGTGATAAAGAGGAGGTGGTGCTGTTCAGAGATGTAGGAGTGCGTTAGTTTGGTGCGGCCTACCCCGACTCCTGTCAGGGGGACCTCCTTCAGGCGTGTGTCTTAATGTGTAGTGTTCCAGTGTTCGAGTCGCGGTTTGATGTGCATGGTGTGCGGTGCGCGCTAGCCCCTTCCGTATTGAATGGGACCAGAGCCAATTCCAGTTCCAAGAGCCTATAACTGAAATTAAGCACGGTGAGTACTGGGCAAGAGGTATTATTGCGAGCGAGTAATAAGTGATCATTTTGCGGCTGCGTCTGCTGCATCTCTCCCCTGGATACCCCTGGATTCCTATCCGCTGCGAATGGTCAAACGGGCGATATATCCACTTATGTGATAACTGCTTATGACATCACTCCACATTCACAGAACAACAAACATGTATATCGCTTCCAGTCGTAAATGACAGCTTGACTAAAGCAGTAAACTCGAAAATAATTCATCAGATCTCCCCATTTGAGTGGCGAAGAGAAGTGGACGGACATTAAAGGACAATCCTGTGCGGTCTGTCCTTGACCTTTCCTCATGCCCCGCGGCTAACTGCATATGTCACGCTTGCCAGGCAGGTATGGTGGACAGGTGCACAACGCGTAGCTCTATCTTTCAGATCACGTGTCAAGTGTGTGCCCCTGATTAGAAATTCTCCTACATTGGTGAAACATTACATCTTGGATGAACCAGGTATAACGAGCACCTCTGCAACGCTTTTGGAACTCCACTCGGCTATCACATTTAGAAAAAAACCCCACGGAATCCATCTTCCCTGAAAAATTCCCTCGAAAAATGTTGCGTGCTTGTAAGGATGCGGCTGCGCTAGAATTGCGGAACCCATGGCCGTTAGCCATCACAAACCAGACCACGACACATCCATTTCATCTTGTCAGCCAGTGCCACCACCACCATACTTGTGATCACACTGTGAGCTGTATTCGACGCCCAAGATCATTTGCCGGACGTGCAATCCTCGCATGCCATTTCATTGTCCGTATGTCCCCTCTGCAACATGGGTTCACTTTGCTCAGATCCAATGCTTCTTTCTACCGAGATTGACTGTGCGTCAAAAGGCATCATTTTCTGAAGTTGTAAAATGTCTTAATTCTTAAAAAAGATCGTGAAGCCGTAATGGTAAAACTTTTGACCTATTTTTATACATGCCATGATACTTATGGTTATTCTTTCTTCTTTAATCCCTTGGTCCCTGTGGCCTACTATCCAAAGGTATGTAATGTTATGTGTGCTTAATTTAGCTCTTGTGTTCTTGTACATTTTGTTTTTCTTGTATATTCTTGTATATTCCATATCATTGTCATTTTCTTGTCGTGACATGTTGCTTGCTACCATTGATATTCTCGGTTACGGCTCTATTCCAAACAAACAGGATTCTCGACGTCATGTCCCTCCCAACTAGTAAAACTGCCCAAATACTTGCATTATGTTTCACAAAACACTCGAGGCTTGACTTAATAGAACGTGATCGAGACTTTTATTTACGCGCTATGCATTAGACATTTTACATTGCAGAGACATCTTATGCCTTAAACTGGTTCAAAGCCAGCTGACATACGTTGATTCTACAATTCCTGCTGACGTACTTTAACCACAAATGAGTTAGAATCCAGGGTTTCCTTGAACTTTAACATATATGACTGTTGAAAAGGCGGAATTCGTGTGACGTCCCCATGATATCACACATCTATAGGTAACTACAAATCAAACGGCGCGAAATAGTCCACATCTGTTCACGGGCGCCTAGCTAAAAAGCGTCAGGATTTGAAGAATTGCAAAGGGCATGACTCTGAACTGCAGACAATGATCTTGCAAATGGCTATGTCAGCCCAAAACCTCATACAATTGTGAAATGGCCCCTTCAATGCTTGGTTGACAATCTGCCACCTATAGTTCCTTGTCGTATTGAGCTACATTTAAATGCGAAGTTTGGTTTGGCGACGGCTGGTGAGTTATGCTGTAGCAAGCAAGCCAGACACGCGTCGGAATAGCGGTGCTCATTAAATTAATAACACACAGCATGAGTAAAAAACAGAGCGATCAGACTAAGCGGAACAGATCAAACAGTCATTAGTCGAATCCACGTTTGAAATCGCAAAAAACTGTCTGTTTTATGTGTCGGCGCCGCTAAGTCAGAGAAAACCTTTGCTGGCTACCATTTGAAAGCTCATGCTAGACGTTGATCAGCAGACGAGGAACATCATGCTGGGCGCTGAGCAGGCGTCTTAGAAATGCGGACAAAGGCGTTGTTTGGCATTGAGCGCGAGCTGCGTGCGCAAAACGCGCGCCGTAAACAGCTTGCCTCCAATGCCAGCACTCGAAGTACGCTTGCACCCGATGGCGACACACGTCCGGCGCGGACTGGGCAGTCAGCCGCCGTCCCCCTCCCCGCCTCACCCGAACTTGCAGAGACCCACTGACGACCGCTCCCCACGCCAACTCTGGTCCCCCGGGACCCAACGTCCGCACGGCAGAGGCGGGCGCCGGGCCGGACCGGGCCGGGAGAGAGCCGGACAGGCCGCTCAGTCGTGAGACACGCCCCGGCCGGAGGAGATCGCCCGCCGGTGTCGAGCGCCCCCTGGCGACCCACATGGCCTGTCAAGTCACCGGCCAGTAAGCACGACAGACGCAAGCTGTTCTGCGCCCGGCGGACGGTGTGTGTGGCAACGAGGCGCCGACGAGCGGGGCGGCGCGGGAGCAGAGCGCAGACGAGCGGGGCGGCGCGGGAGCAGAGCGGACACGAGCGGGGAACGGAGCGCAGACGAGCGAAGAAGCGCGGGAACAGAGCGGGGACGAGAGAAAGAGCGCGGGAACGGAGCGAGGACGAGCGGAGCGGCGCACGGAGAGGAGGATCGCAGGGCGGGAGCGGCCGGACGGTGGTGTGAGGCGACTCCGGACGCAGTCTGAGGCGGCACCGGACGCAGTCTGAGGCGGCACCGGACGCAGTCTGAGGCGGCACCGGACACAGTCTGAGGCGGCACCGGACGCAGTCTGAGGCGGCACCGGACGCAGTCTGAGGCGGCACCAGACCCGCGGCTAGCGCTGAGCGCAGCAGTGTACCATCCACCGGCTGAGTGCACACGCCTGCGCGGGTCGTCGTCCCAACATGTCGGTGCAGTCCGGAATGTTCCAGCGCCTGTTCCTGAGGCGGCACAGGTGGGTTGACGGTACCCGACACGCGCGGAAACAGGATGGTACGCTCGCAGCTTCTGGACTTCTGACATTTTCGTGGAAGCATGACGGCTATTTTGCCCTGCTATAAGATATATGCCGAAAACAGCATCCGTGTAGTCTGTTGGAATGGCACCAATGCGTTCTGCTCAGACCATGTTAATGTTTTATGTTTACGTTATATCCAGTGCTGCATGGGAAAATAATCAGGATAATGAGCTAATGCACTATGTCATACGTTCAATGTAAATGCGAGAAATGTCACGCACTCATAACAGTACTTCCCTTAATCTCATTTCACCTTGGTAGTTAAAGTCAAGTACACTAAAACAGTGCATTCGTAACGAACTACCGACGAGGAACAAAGTGAGGATAAGTTCTTACATGATTTAACGGGTTCCATGAAAACAATTCAGCATCATAACATACTCTGAAATGATAAACGTCAGGTATACGTAACAGAGTGACGCCGCTCGTCCCAGCATCGGCAGTAGGAGCGCGATGCCAAACCAGGCCAGGCCGCGCACCGGTCCTTGCGCTGAGGGCCGGGCTTCCTCTCCTCCAACGTTCAACGCACGATAACGTTTCGGGTCGCTGGCAGCCTGTTATCACGCGGCCCGCCCCAATTTCACGTTAGGTCTATTGGCGCGCGGTGCGGTGATGGCCGCCGCAGCGCGGTGACGGCGCGAATAACGAGGGCAGGATCGAGCTGTTCGCAAATTTCACCACAGACGTGCCAGTCGATCAGATGAGCCTGTCGCGATCACAGCCTACGCAGCACGTACCAGTCCAATCCTGGCGGTTTCGTGACGTTGGCCGGTGGGCAAGCGAAGCCGTTTGACCGCCCCTCATCCCGCGCGCCGATGCACCACCCCATGCGCTGCCACAGGACTGTGAGCGGCATGCACGCCTACAACATCGAGTACGTGCCCTACAGCAAGGACCGCCTGGACGACATCGTCGAACTGATGTTGGATACCTTTTTCACGCACGAGCCGCTGGTAGGTGTCCTTGTCGGGGCCCGCGCACGAGCCGCTAGTACGTGTCCTTGCCGGAGCCCTATGGTGACGTCACAGCGCCGCTGGCTTCTGTACACAGACTGGCGCCGTTTTGTACGCTGACGACAAAGCGAGTGGGCTGAGCGGATGCTTGTGGAATATGGCACTTTTAGCTGTTCGCGTGTCTCGAGCACATGCTGGCTGACGGACAGACTCCGGACTCATGGCAGCCGCGGTCTCGGGACGCTCGTGTGACGGCCTGAGATAGCGAATCGTCACCGATGTCCCGTATGGAACTGCGCGCCATTGTCCCAGCGCGCCAGCGTGCACGCGGTGGCAGACCGCCGCATCGTCCCCGCCATAACGGGTCCACCCTGGCGCTTCCCCCTGCGCGCTGGCTGCCCGGCCTGCTGTCACCGCGTGCAACTGTTCAGGCCACTTGCCATGCACCTTCAGCTTCGCCACGCCTGCCGCACGCGGGGTGCGTGCGGACCACGCCCCCCCCCCCCCCCCCGCGCCCACCGCCGCCTCCGGTGCCGCAGGCGCTCAGCGTGCAGCGAGCACCGGGATCGGGCCGCGAGGACGTGCTGGACTGGCTGCGTCCGTGCATCGCCGGCTGGACCCATGACGTCATGCTGCTGGCCGTCGACGCCGACGAGGACCGGCTGGTGGGCGCCACGCTCAACAATGTCATCACGGCCGAGCACCGCGACACGTGGAGCTGGCCGCGCCACGCCGGCACCGAGTACGCCCGGCTCGTGTTCGACTTCACCGAGGAGCTCGGGGTGAGGCAGCGGGCGTGCTGGGAGGGCGACTTCACTGGGAGAGGCCACGAGGCGGGAGAGAGGAGGTCGGCTTCACTGGGGAAAGGCCACGAGGCGGGAGAGAGGAGGGCGACTTCACTGGGAGAGGCCACGAGGCGGGAGAGAGGACGGCTGCTTCACTGGGGAGAGGCCATGAGACGGGAGAGAGGAGGGCGGCTTCACTGGGGAGAGGCCACGAGGCGGGAGAGAGCGCGGGGAGGGGTTTCTGTTGAGGCCTGGGGCGAGGTGGCAGGTACGGCGGGAACGAACTCCACTGAGGAGATCATGGTGAGACGACAGGTGAGGCGGCCCCCTGCTATCTTGGGGACCACACACGCTTGAGCCAATAGCAGCGTCGAATATCCAGAGCCAGTATCTTATATCTTGAGCCAATAGCTTGAGCAGCGTCGAATATCCAGCGACGGAGGGTGGAGAGAGATCGTAATGAGGACCTCGAGTTGAGGCATGTCTCATCCCACGCTGCTCATTGGGGAGGGGAAGGGGACTGGCAGCCGCCTTCCTCCCTACAGAGCGAGGACGGGGAGGGGTCCACTGAGGAGCCGGGTGAGGCGGCGCGGACGTGCGTAGGCACGTTGCCAGCTGGGGGCACGACACAGATAGCCTTCAGTGTGTACCCGGACGCCGAGGGTTTAAAAACGGGTCTGGGACATGCAAACGTCAAGTGAGAACGTCAGAAAAAAAATGTTTAGGAGTCGTGGTGGGCGTTCTATAATCAGGAGTGCTTCGCATCGCAAAACAGCGTGATCTGGTCGCGCGATGTCAAGTGTTTGACAGCAGTTTTATGCCATTCAGCCCATGAGCAGACAGAGCGCAATGCTGCGTGTTTACACCTGCCAGGCGGCCAGAACAGTCCAGATCCCGCTCGATTTTTTGTAATGCCGTCAAACACCACGACCGAGAAGCAAAATCGGGCTTCATTCACGGAACCTGGCAGCTCAGCCTTCTAAACCAGAGAGTCGTCAACCTCAGAAGTAGCAGATTATATGAGAACGACGAGAAGAAGCGTGGCTCGACGCCGCCCGACCCCCTGGCGTCCCGGCCGCCTGTCCCCAGGCGGCGCCCGTTGGTGACGCACGGCGCACAGAGCACTGCGGCGTGCCCGGTTAGCCCTTCGGTCCACACGCCTACGTGCCTGCGGTCTTCGCCATACAAACAGTTGCTGGCCGCAGTAATTGGTACAGAGGCGTGGTGCGATGTCTGGTCACTGTTTATTTACACTCGAACATAAACGTGACGATCGGCCCGGCTGCGACGGCGCGCCCCGCATGGGTCGGCGCGGCAGGGCAATGGCTTGTGCCAGTTGTCGCCGATTTGCCGCGTGTTTGCACAACAGATGGAGCTAGAGACGTTCGCGCTTATCGCCATCATGCACTTGAATGGTCGTCCTTGAGATAATTAATTTTTTTATGTGAATTCCTCGTCAATGAACATGTTGAAAAACGCCGGTTTAGGTGTTTTACCGAGGGCAGGAAGCCACAAACATGATACTTGGCCAGGGACATGGCTCCATATTTAACTTTTAGGAATTTTGCGAAACTGAGCCAGTTTTCCCAGCAAAGTTCCGTTAGTACATTGATGGTTTAGCTTTTCAGATAGCAGGATGCCTCACAGGCCGCCTGCTGTTTCGGAAGCCAAACAGGCTCGAGCTAATATGAAAACAGCGTCGGTTAGCCGGCTACAAACTGCACTTAATTCAGATTGCTAGATGTCAGTGCTAGTGATCTTTGGTGGTGTTCAAGTGGCCCCTGGTTCTAGAGGGTTCCAACTAGGTCAGCAAGGGTGATTCAAGGGAACTTGTGCATCGCGTTATCTAACAACTATTCGTGTTACAAGGGAACAAATCTCAACAATATTACACATCTATGTTGTTAGCAAGTCATTGCGGATGTGCACAATGCCACGCAAAATCATGCCATAAGATCAAGCGAAGTACGTACGGATCACACCTCGTTGCCCCATTAACCCAGCATGATGCCGTACTGGAAGATATGACGCTGGGTTGCTGAGCTCCGCCTCGCGTGGTAACAGTGACGTTTAACCTACCCGCTTAGAGGCCAAATGCTTTCCTCCTAAGTGCTTCTTTATTGGTAGCATTTGACCCAGTCTGACCTAAAAACCATGTTGCTGTATTTCTTCGGCATGCCATGATGAAATAAGAAAATATTCAGAGAGAGAGAGAGAGAGAGAGATAGAGAGAGAGGAGAGAGAGAGAGACTATAGATATATAGAGATAGAGAGATAGAGATAGAGAGAGAAGAGAGAGAGAGAGAGAGAGAGAGAGATATATAGATAGAAGAGAGATACGCTATCTCGTCGAGCTCTCTCACGACGAGAGCTCTCGCTCTCTCTCTCTCTCTCTCCGGCGAGCTCTCGCTCTCCTTCGCTTCGCTCCCTCAGCTCTCTCTCTCTTCTCTCGCTCGCCTACTATCTCCTCGCTCTCTCATCTCAAGCCCGCTCTCTCTCTCTCATCTCTCTCTCTACTATCTCTCTTCTCTCTCTCTCTCTCTCTCCCTCTCTCATATATATATATCTATATACTACACTGCGCGTTGTTTTATAAGCTTAAGTGTGCCGACAAACGGTCGAATCAGCACCTCAGCGCGAAAGGTGCTCATGACCTCGACCCTAATTTATTGACTCATGAGCTACCGCAAACGGATCTCCAAATTTCCGCGCATTGCTACCAGTTTGCTAACTCAGATAAGCTTCAGCAGCAGTACTAACACATGCGATTCCGGAAAGCTCATGCGCCTCTGAGGTCTCTTGGTGTGTCTCGGTGTGTGCCGTTGTGTTAAGATGACCCCGATGGAAGGCCAGACATCCACGGACCAGCTCATGGAAACCGCGCGTTGTGGACTGAGCGTCACGTGCCTACACTATATTCCATCACCCTCCCCCCCCCTCCGGCTACCCGCTGCCCTGAGCCTGCCCCGCTGTCGCTTACCTGACGCCTCCAGTGCCGCCGACCTGACGTCAGTCACCCTCCCCACCGCCGCTGACCTAGCGCTCTTCTCCCCACTGGCGCCGACCTGAAACCTCCACTGTCACCGACCTGACGCCCATCCCCTCTGCCAATGACCTAGCGCCCTCCTGCCGCTGACCTGACTGACATCTCCCCACTGCCGCTGACCTAACATTTCCCCACTGCCGCTGACCTGACGCCCCCCCTACCCAGCGCCGCCGACCTGACCCTCCACTGCTGCCGCTGACCTGGCGTCCCCCTCCACACGCTGATGTCACATCTCCCCTCTACACTGCCACTGACATGGCATCTCCTCACTGCCGCTGACCTGACGCCCCCCTACCCAGCGCCGCCGACCTGACCCTCCACTGCCGCCGCCGACCTGGCGTCCCCCTCCACACGCTGATGTCACATCACCCCTCTACACTGCCACTGACATGGCATCTCCTCACTGCCGCTGACCTGACGCCCCCCTACCCAGCGCCGCCGACCTGACCCTCCACTGCCGCCGCCGACCTGGCGTCCCCCTCCATACGCTGATGTCACATCTCCCCTCTACACTGCCACTGACATGGCATCTCCTCACTGCCGCTGACCTGACGCCCCCCTACCCAGCGCCGCCGACCTGACCCTCCATTGCCGCCGCCGACCTGGCGTCCCCCTCCATACGCTGATGTCACATCTCCCCTCTACACTGCCACTGACATGACATCTCCTCACTGCCGCTGACCTGACGCCCCCCCTACCCAGCGCCGCCGACCTGACCCTCCACTGCTGCCGCCAACCTGGCGTCCCCCTCCACACGCTGATGTCACATCCCCCCTCTACACTGCCACTGACATGGCATCTCCTCACTGCCGCTGACCTGACGCCCCCTTACCCAGCGCCGCCGACCTGACCCTCCACTGCTGCCGCCAACCTGGCGTCCCCCTCCATACGCTGATGTCACATCCCCCCTCTACACTGCCACTGACATGGCATCTCCTCACTGCCGCTGACCTGACGCCCCCTTACCCAGCGCCGCCGACCTGACCCTCCACTGCTGCCGCCAACCTGGCGTCCCCCTCCACACGCTGATGTCACATATCCCCCCTCTACAACTGCCACTGACATGGCATCTCCTCACTGCCCGCTGATCGGACGCCCCCTCTCCACACTACCGCTCATCTGACACCCCCCTCCCCACTGTCGATGACCTGATGCCCCCTCCCCCGCTCCTCTTGCCACCACAGTCGTTGACCTGACCCCTCCCCTCCCCCCGCAGCACGGCGTGGACGTGTTTGCACACTTCGGAGCCACGCGCATTCTGCACCGCTGCATGACGGCCGTGCATCCCGACTACCACCATCAGGGCATCGCTAAGGAGCTGGTCGATACCAGTTCGTTCGACCTGGCACGCAAGGACGGCTGCCAGGCCGTGGTGGCCGGCGTCACGCACCGCACCGCCCAGAAGATCCTGCTCAACCAGGGCTTCGAGGTGCTGCGGGAGCTGCGCTACTGCGAGAGCAAGACGCTCGCCGCCAGCCCGTACTTCGACGAGAACAGGCTGGGCCACCACAAGTCGGCCAAGCTGATGGGCGTCTCGCTGACGGAGACCTAGCCGCGCCGCCGCCGCCGCCGCCGCCGCCAAGGGCAGGCCAACGTAAACAGCGCGCGATGGCAGTCGAATCTGGAGCGTGGCGCGAGACCGGGCGCGCCGCAGCCAGCTCGCGGGGCCGCAGGGGACGGGGGTGCCGCAGCGGCGTCGCCCGAGGCCGGCGCGAGGACGCGGCAGCGGTGGAGCCGACCACGCTGGCGCCGTCGCGGCGGTGCCCACCGACACTCGACGGCGGTATCCAGCGGTACTCCAAGCGCTCCGTGGCTGTCGCGCTGGTGTTGGATGTTACGTGTGCCTCCACTTTCCTGGTCGGGAACCTGGCGACCCGTCTGGCTGGGGTGTATTGTTGTGTGATGATTGGTGACCACATACGTTGACTTAAGGAGGGAAATCGAATAAACATTGGCATACAGCAGCGGCGTTTGTAAGCTGAATGCCGGCAAACACAAATCAGAGACTAAGTTTCGCGTAAAGCTGGATCCAGTCAAATCTGCAGTGTTTGTTTTTGAATTGGATACATGCTGCGAATTTTAGACGACGCCCATATCCGATGGAAAGCGTGAGCGAATGCACCAGCCACACACTGATCATTACGTATCACAACCATTGGTGTAGTTTTCTAGTCTCTGGGGTCGCTCTCCTAAGTGGAATCTTAGCACACATGACTCAAATATGTGTACACAACTTATTATTCCATCGAGGGTTCAGCGTGTTCCTATTTTCCGATAAAGTAACGCCCTCTCAAAGTTTCCACACGTTTGGTCTCCGTCAGGTTGGTATCTTTTACATGACATTTGTAGTCATCTTCGTTCCCCCTGCGTACAACCATACACCTATCTGTCGCATATCTCCACCAGTTTGACGCATTTTACGGCAGAGGAAGAGCGGGTTGACAGTAACATTGAGTGATATCGTCAAGCACAGCAATCAAAATGCATGCAAAGGAACCCGGCTGCCCTTGAGAACACATACAAGTAGGTTCTGACACTGTAGTAAAACATGCCCTTTCAAGAGTGGGGAGATTGGGTTTTCCTGGAACACTACAACACAACCATTTTGGGCGGATATTGACCGCAACGACCAAGGTTTTGTGCCAACGCAGTCCTTTTCCGCATCAGTTGTTGGTTCAAGCCAGTGTGTCGTTTGAGACTGCTTCCGGCATGCTGGCACTGGCTGCTCTCGATCGATTACTAGGGCACCTTACGAGTAGTGTGTTGAGACGTATGACGAATTGGTTGAGACTCATGATTACACAGACGTAGCAAGGCAGTGACAAACCAGTCTCAGAGCGCCAACTTTGAAAACGTTTTCTCTTCCAGTGGTGATGATGTCAAAATTATGCAAAAATTTGGAAATATTTCCTTTTCCGTGTTAATTGAATGGGGAGACACTGATTCTAGTCATGTTTATACTGATCATGAGACTAGTTTGTCATTGCCCTGCTATGTCGGTGTTGAGATCGTTCACTGCGTGTAGACCATACATCGTTTCCCACCATGCGGTTGATCTCATGTATCTTCTGTTCTGGTCTCATACATCGGACGTAAATCTTTAAAACGCTCCAAAACGGGCTCATGCATGATTCGAGCACATCACGTGCTGGCATGCGAGCATCGACCAACACTTTTGTCAGTATGATTGTCCGTTTTTTCCTGTGTCACCGTTAGCCAGCTTCGCGCCACTGCAGTCCCGAGCCGTCGAGATCTGGACCCTGAATCCGTGATCCGTGTTCCTTGACCCATGATCCGTGTCCCTGGACCCATGATGTGTGCTCCTGAGTCTGTGGTCTCCAGTTGAACATTTTGTTTACGGTTCTGGCAAGACTCGCTCTGCCTGCATCCTCGCTCGTGACGTAGACGACACACACACAGGCACACACAACGCGTGCTTCTGCTTGAGTTTACTTAACATAACAATCAACCAGCCCGCCGAGGACACTCGAGCATTGCTGGAGGGCGGTGAACAGCGCAGCCTGGCGGCGCCGGCGAGCAGCGCAAGTTTGTTCACCATCCGCGGCGCCACGGCAGAAAACCTCGGTCCACGGCATTCAGATTCTCAGCAGTGGGGGGGGGGGGGGGGAGGGGGAGGTATTTTTGTTTTTACAATTGTTTGTACAATCAATGACATTAATTAATTGATGAAATGATGCAATTACAATTACAATTTGTTTTTTACAATCAAAACAAAAAGGAAAAAGTAAATTTCGGCCCTTATTACCCCGCCAATTTGAAGGTCCTTTTGCCCAAAACAAAATGTTGACGACAGCTTCAAAAGCTAAGGTGCCACGACCGACACGCCTACTGCATTGATGTTTACGAGGGAAACTGGGCTCCGGTATGCGAGGAGGATCTACGGCCGACACATGGAACGCCTGGCGAGGCGTTTGTGACGCAATCATAACCAGTTACCAGGTTACCCGGGCCCGGTTACGCTAACAAATAGTTCACATTGTAACAGACGCCAATGGATGCTAACAGCAACACCAACGTTAACTTGTAAGACGTCTGTTGCGGCGTGGTGCGAGACTTCAAACGTTAACTTGACCGCAATGCAGGTATAAGAAATGGGTCCGCGTGCTCTCAAAACCCATACGAATCACTCGTCAGTGCATCAGAATACCCTACCTTTACGAGTTTAGAAGGCGTAGACGCACTCACGAGGCTTCGCGCCGACGTTTACAACTAGCGGTACTGGAAAATTGTCTGTCAATGGATGATAATGAATTATAACTCAGACGAGATGGTCGCGTTTAAACCAAGCACTTTTTTGGCGACCGCGACGAGCTCAATACGAAAAGCCAATGTTTGAAGCAGATGCTGCCGTCAAGCACCACCTGCAAGCATGCACAATTTCCTTAGTATAAATGGGAGCTGTGTAAATATATGTGCCTCCGTTCAGAACGCAGAATGCACTCGAGGTTGGTTTTGGAAACGGTGACATGGACTGCGCCAGGCTTGTTATTGCTTACCAAATGCATCAACTGCTTTGGCGGGTTATTATTGTCGTTTCTCGCTTCGTAGACGGTGCGTTCACGCACACTGCGCACGCCTCTGCGTGAACAGCACGCGGTGCAGTGTATGGCCCCACGCCCTCACCTGCTCTGGTTGCCAAGGTCCGACACCGGTCCCTCGGGCTTGCAAAGCCAAGCTCGCGCGCGGCCGCGCGCTTCAGTCCGCACTCATCGACCCACCAGCGCGATTTACCCGGTTTACATGGGCAGCCGAGGATAATTCGAATTAAGATCGGAACGGATCATGCGACGTTAACCCTCTCGGCGAGGGGCGTTTACATGGGCGAAACCGGCTTTACGTCGGATTAACGGTCGATAGTTCGATCCCGCTTAGTTCGAACCAAGGAACGGGTTATGGGCGAAAACTGCGCTTTTGAGGCGAACTGAACAAAACAAGAAGAAAAAAGCCGGTACTCTGCGTATGGATGGCGAATGTCACGAGCCATGGTGGGCGCGAGACAGCTTTGAGGGCGAGGAGGAAGATGGACTCCGTTGGAAAAATGATCTGTGCGGGACTCGTAGGCTTTGTAGCTACAGCACAAGCCATAGCACTTGAAACACAGGAGTTGCGCAGTCAGCACTGCCAAATCTGTCACATAAGCAGTGTTATATGCAAATTTTTACTAGCAGGAAACTGGCTAGCACGAAATCAGTATTTTCTTGTATTGGCCAATGACACTCACAAACTTACCACACTCATCAGTATGCCACCCAGCATCATGTCATCTACTTTGCGCAGCCCAAGAAACACATTACCTAATCCCGCACCAATGCATTTGTGAGCAGCCTGCAACAGTGAGCTACGCTACAGAAATGACTCATGAATGCTACATAGTTAGTGGCAAAAACTGTGTAACTATGTTGTCTTTCCCCATCCAATGCATCATCAGTACCTGAGGGCAGCATTGCCATTTAGACTTGGCATGGACTGGCAAGTCAGAATGCAGCTATTTGCTTTCTTGACATACTAGGGTTGAAATACTGCTTTGATATCCTTGCAGTCAACAGCATTGGCTGATATGGACTGATGGCTAGGAGGCACAAACAGCCGTGTTCGCACAGTCCAAAGATCATAACGTGAACCAGCCCCAGAGCTGTCATGACAAAAGCAATCTGGGCTCAAAATTCATAACAAATGATTAATTATAGCAACAGCTCAATTATCCACCTCATGGTTTGCAAAGATACATGTCACAAAAAAGCACCAAGGCAACATATTTACTCGCCAGTACAAAAACAGGTAATGATGTGCACTGCAGATGTTCTCTGCACATCATGTGGCATTAGGTTAGGTTTACTTAGTTTATGCACTGTTTTCTTCCACATGAAATGCACAAACCTGGATTTGACAGAGTACTGATGACAGCTAATTTCATCCAGTGCTCACATTTGCTTTCTTGACATTTTGGAACCATCACTGGGCAATTTTGGTCCCATCATTAAAAATAGTTCACATTCTGCACTGACTGCAATGATCTATTGCCTATATTTGTTGATCCTTTGCATCATGCAGGAATTATTGAGTTACCTATCTCACACACATTAAACCGACAAGCAACAAACAGCCTAATTGCATCAAAAACAAATATTCCAGCCCCCGCTTCCTTGCCAGTTGGTCTACCAGTGTGACGTAACTTCATATTTCCTTGACAAGCCAGTCACCAATATCCAGCACATCCCTCCTGCCAATAGGTGGTCAACCAAATGTTCAAGTCACAGGAGGAATGTCTGCAAAATCAATCCTGGGGCATTTATGTATTCACCTAATGAAAGAAACTATTGGTACTCCCTGCAAGAATTGTTGAACAGTTGAATTACCTACCTAGTGGCCTGCAAAGACACCCATCACAAAAAAGCACCAAGGTGACACATTAAATCACCAGCACAAAAACAGGTGATGATATGCAACACAGACGTGTTCTCCATGCAGCATGTGCCATCGTGTTAGGTGTTAGTTTATGCACTGTTTTCCTGCACATGGAACACACAAACTTGGATTTAGCAGAGTAATGATGACAACCATTTTCATCCAGTGTTCACATTTGCTTTCTTGCTGTTTTGACCCCATCATTGGGCAATTTCGGTCCTACCATTAAAAAAGTTCACATTCCGAGCTGACTGCAATGATCTATATTTGTTCGTCCGTCATATCATGCAGCAATTTTTAAGCTACCTTTCTCACACAAATTAAACTGACAAGCAACCAGCATCCTAATTTAAGGAACATCTGCAAAAACACTCCTGGGGACTTAAGGTATTAACTTAATGAACGAAACTTGGAGGCATTCTCTGCGAGAATTTTGAGCAATCCAAAAATTAAAATGAGAACAAGTCAAAGCTATATAAAATAACCATATTACCTCCATCTGGCTTTGGGACGCATGGAGCCTGCCCCAGATGTA